TTTCTGCATACAAGCATAAATAAGAGTATCCACACAAAAAAAAAAAAATCACTGAAAAAAGTAGCCAATTTTTGGTTTAATTTGTATTCTTAAGAGAATGCTGACATTAGCTTTTAAAAATGTTTGAACTAATGAAGTCAGTGAATGTGCTCCTTGAACTCACATGGCTTAGAACTATAATCTATAGTTTGAAATTAAATCAGGACAACATGTTTTCACCAAATGTGCTAACCACAGAGCTATCACTTCGTACTATATTATCCAAATTAAAAAATTTTCAGCTTCTTAATCCATTGGGATAAGCTTAAAATAATCTTCTTTGGTTTTGTTTTTATTTTTTCTTGGTTATTCTCAACAAATCCATATTTAAAATACTTATCCGCATATTTAAAAATAAATAAATAAAAATAAAAGAGATAAAAACAAAACGACTAAAACTAAAATGCTCTTTACTTTTGTTTTCTGAGGGACACCATTGCCACATGAAGGATATTGATAAACAGAATTAAGAGGAGAAAAAAAAAAAAATTTAAACTAACAAATGTGCATTTCCTAAACAAAATAAATTCACTGCTGCTGAAGCCAAAAAAACAAAAATCTTTCATCTGGTGCAGATCTTTTAATTTAATTTTATTTACTCTATAAATATTATGAGAGCAGATGAACTACAAGCCAAAAAACATTTTGAAACAGATTTTTTTTTTTTTTCTTTTTTATTTAAGGTGAAAATCAGTAGATCTTTATATAACATAAAATAAATTAAGTATATCGTTCAAAAAGGTAAGTTACTTATAAAACTATCAAATACTTTCTCATAAAAAAGGTGACTTTTAATAAAAATAATAAAGGTAATAAAATGAACTAAGAATAAAATTGATTTATTTTTTATTGCTCATCAACCATTTGCAGGTTATTTAAAGCCAGAAAACATTTTCAGAAGTCCAACTAATTAACTCGTAGATTGGGAAGAAGTGACCACCGAAGTTAAGCAACATCCAACCTGGTCAATACCAAGATTGGTGACTGCTTGAGAATAGCAGGTGCTGTAAACTTAGATGTGTGAGTAGTGTAATGGATAATGATTCAGAATTGGAAATCAGAGGGCTGAGTTCATATTCCAATCAGATTTGTTGTATTCATTTACTTGCAAACACCCTTGGGAAAGGCATGAATCATATGAGAACCAGTGTTTCTATATGACATGGCCATATGCCATAAAAACAAAAATTAATAAAATAGCATCCTGATATTTGATGGATGTACTTTGTTGGCATTGGCAAAGATCATCCTTCTGTGAATATCGTGGACTGGTGCTACAGAATCACAAACAAAGAACTTTACCAAATAGAAGAAACCACATCACTTGTGGATTACCAACAACAGAAACAATTAAAATGGATAACACATATAACTAAGAAAAAATAATGACATAATCAAGATGTTGATATTCCACACTACTTTATACAAAAGTTTAAGGACATCTTGGTGTAGTGTAATAGTTAAGAAGCTTGTGTCGCTAGAACAATTATGACTGAGCAGTGAGTTTGACCTTCACTGGGAGCCCCATACTTTCAGTTTTGTGCCACATCTAAACTAGGCTTAGAAAATCTACCATATAACAGGTTAGAAAAGAAATACCCATCAATACTGAAAAGAGTAAGAACAGCTACTGGACTTGAGAAACTTTTTCCTGAAAAATTGTTTTAAGAGAAAGATTTTATAAATTTCAACCAAAAGCAGCACTGGCTACTGCCAAATGTTTAATGTTTCCTTGTAGGGAAATGGCAAATATTACTGTTACTATCAAAGATACAATTTTCCAGATGTCTAAAAAATTTACTTTACAAGCTGAAAGTTATTTTTTTTATTTTATGTTTATCTTTCCCTTCAAAATTTTTCAAGTCAGAATTTAGATGTAGTATCAAAAAGTGAACTAATGATAACATTTTTTTTCCTTTTTTACCAATTTTACTTGGTTATGTTTTTAAAAGGAAATATTTATTTAATTTAGTGGCTTTGATCCAATTCTTATTTGGAATTTAAGTAAAATAAGCTAAAAATGATTTTTTTTTTTTATAATAATACGCTAAAACTTGAAGGAGGAATTTACTATATCACCTGTAATGATTGCCACAAGGAATACATGGGAGAAACCTAAAGGAATTATTCAAATAAAAGATTACATGAACGCAAAAGAGATCTTTCCCAAAGTAAGACATTCAATGCATTAGTTAGTCACTGTAATGAGTGACTATATTTTTGAGTTAAAAAAATGTCTTTAATTAAATGAGAAAGTACATTTACTAAGTGAAAGTGTATAGAAAATGTTTTGATTGCTAGATCAACCAGAGTAAATTTGCATCCAGGTTCTTAAAACATTTCACCTATCTTGGCAAAACTATTATCACAATGCAGGATATATAATAATACAGGTGATAAAAAACAAAAGCATAAGGAAAATAATTTTTAAAAATTTGAATTAGAAAAAAAATTTAAATTTCATCATTCCATCATCCTCAGTGTTACATAAAACTGCAGAATTATAAACGATGCATGTGTTTTTACATCTCCCCTTCTTCTTATACATGTAATTCCGTCAATAAAAAAATTAGTTTAATGCAGCATTTCTCAACCTTTTTACCTTTGTATAACCCTTAAAATATATTACATGTCTAAAGGAACCCCTACACAAAAACAAAATTATATACCATATCTTTCTCATTTTATTTTCATAGTATATATTTTTGAATAACTGGTTTAAGGAAAAATACTTCTTTGTCAAATTTTTTGGTAATGCTAAATAAAACTTATACTGTTTGTTTATAATACTTCATCAGGAAGTTTTCATTCACACAAAAAAATTCTAAACTCAAACATAAAAAAATAATAAATAACCAATATCATATACCTATAATATAAATGTAAACAGAACCTAAACAGTAATATTATGCATATGAAATTAAAGAAAAAGTCAAAAGTGCATTAGCTTATCTCACCTGTTCTTGCAGAACCCTTGGGGATCTTTTGCAGAACCCTTGGGGATCTTTTGCGGAACCTTAGGGTTCCAGGGAAACCCAGTTGAGAAATGCTGGTCTAACAAAATCCTTCTAGAAGATGAAATGCATTACATAGATAAATAACTTTGCCCAAGATCAAATAAAGGAATTTTTAAACTGCACTGTTAATTACAAATTGAAATTTAATTGGTCTTCATTCTAAATCAGTGGTAGTTTTAAATATTTCATGTTGGCTGAATCTTAATTCACCTTGTCACCAAAAAAATACACTTAGATAAGAAAAATGATATATAGCCATGGAATTAGCTATATAGTTTACTATTTGGAAATGGTTGACAAGATAACATGAGAGAAATTTCTTGGGTTTGGAGCAGATTATAAGAGATCTCACCAATATGATATCACACATTGGCAGGTTTAGTAACTACTGAAATTAGTACAATTCAAGTTTCCCACCTTGGTAATGAATTCTACACACTGTCACAAGGTGGTGATAAGTATATGTAACATTGGCAAACATGATCAAGACAGCAACTAAAAAAATATCCTAGTATTTAAAATTGGATAATGATTAAATAAATGCACATCATAGATGATGGTGATGATGATAGCAATTATGGTTATAGATAGGCTAACAAAATAACTCACCAATATATATGGTGCGATGGATAAATTGTCGTCTAAATTACACAAAAATGAAAATAACACTAACATCTCATTTTAACAGATATATTTACCAAAATTACACAAAAAATATCTTCAAAATACTAAAAAGAGTAAATTTATTCAATAAAATCGCCACTAGCTTCAACCAATGCCTCCAGACAACTTCAGAATCTCCTACAACTCTTCTGAACAGTCTCCTTGTTTAAGTTGGCAAATGCTGCCATAATCCTTGCATTCAGATCACCTTTGATGCTACAAGGAGTTTTGTTGATCTCGCACTCAGATGCACCCCACACATAATAATCAAGGGGGTTGCAATCTGGGGAGTTAGGTTGCCAGATGTAAGAAGTGATGTGATGTAGTCGCAGAAATTGTCTGACAACCACAACTGGGTTCTCCTGCTTGTGTAGCATAGTGCAAAAACCTGTTACCAGACATATGGCCTTCCACTAGCTACCATCTTGACCCAGGGCAGCACTGTCTCCTCAAGGCACTTGTAGGCCTCCATGTTCAGTTTGAGGCTCTCATCAACAAATTTGAGAGTTCTTTTCTTCTCAGAATGATCAGAGTGAGGTTTAGGAATTGCCGTACCTTCAACATTAGACTCCTCCAACTCTTTCCGAATCCTCTGCACTGCCCTCAATTAACACCTAAGCACTCTGAAATGTTCGTATTAGAGCTTCTAATGCCAAGCAGTACAGTATGATGTTTCCAAATTTCTGGCAGAGTGGTGCTCTTTTTCTTACAGACAGTGTCCAGCTGACCCTACTATACTGTATAATCGGCAAAATCAAAAACAAACAATGCACATGTGCAAAATTAAAAATATAAAATGGCAACGATTTACCCATCGCACTCTGTATAGGGACATTTTTTACAGAAATTTTTTAAAGATGTCTATCTGGAGGGGCAAAAAAAAAAAAAAAAAAAAATCTTTCACTCCCAGGTGCTTGTGAATATTTCCAAACATGATTTTCTTTTTAGTCATTTTTCCATCAAATAAAACATATAAAATTCTATTTTGACAGTAAAAATATAATTAATAAATTATTTATTAAATATTATACTGGATACTTTGTAAAAAAAAAATAAATTAAAAATTATATGAAGAATTTATTGGTTACAATGTTAATATAAAATTGGTTCAATCTCTGCAGAACATTAATATATATCTGATAAATTACAGCTATTCTGTGTCTATAAATACTATTACTAATTGTAAAAACTGTATGTAAACAAAATTCTTAGACATTGGTCAGTGGCAAATACACAAGCATCTCAGAAACTGGAGTCACTGATTACACAAAAAGTAGGTTATCAAAAAGTAAGGAGAGAGAGACAAGAGTAAAAAGAGGAGAGAGAGACAAGAGTAAAAAGAGGAGAGAGAGACAAGAGTAAAAAGAGGAGAGAGAGACAAGAGTAAAAAAAGAGAGACAAGAGTAAAAAAGAGAGAGAGAGACAAAAAAAAGGAGAGAGAGACAAGAGTAAAAAGGAGAGAGAGACAAGAGTAAAAAGAGGAGAGAGAGACAAGAGTAAAAAAAGAGAGAGACAAGAGTAAAAAAGAGAGAGAGAGACAAGAGTAAAAAGAGGAGAGAGAGACAAGAGAGAGGAAAAAGTAAAAGAGGAGAGAGAGACAAGAGTAAAAAGAGGAGAGAGAGACAAGAGTAAAAAAGAGGAGAGAGAGACAAAAAAGAGGAGAGAAGAGTAAAAAAGAGGAGAGAGAGACAAGAGTAAAAAGAGGAGAGAGAGACAAGAGTAAAAAGAGGAGAGAGAGACAAGAGTAAAAAGAGGAGAGAGAGACAAGAGTAAAAAGAGGAGAGAGAGACAAGAGGAGAGAGAGACAAGAGTAAAAAGAGGAGAGAGAGACAAGAGTAAAAAGAGGAGAGAGAGACAGACAAGAGTAAAAAAGAGGAGAGAGAGACAAGAGTAAAAAAGAGGGAGAGAGAGACAAGAGTAAAAAAGAGGAGAGAGAGACAAGAGTAAAAAGAGGAGAGAGAGACAAGAGTAAAAAAGAGGAGAGAGAGACAAAGAGGAGAAGAGACAAGGAGAGAGAGAGACAAGAGTAAAAAAAAGAGACAAGGAGAGAGAGACAAGAGTAAAAAAAAAGAGGAGAGAGAAGACAATATGAAAATAAAGATGCTGTAAAAGTAGCTAGATACAAAAAAGACAATATAGGAGTGAAAAGAATGAATAAACGATAGAAAAAAAGAGATAAAGAAAATTTGGCAAGGACAGCAGTTAATCAAAAGAATAAAAAATCATTTTTCTGAAAGAATTAACCTCATTCTTGGGCATTCAAAAGCAAAATTTCTAATAACTACGAAACTGATAAGGGATTCATATTTTCAGATATCAGCATTTTCTTTTACTCTCCCCATTTGCTTTTAAGTCAAGAAATATTTGATAGTTTTTTTTTTTTCAATACTTTTATAAAAATCTCTATTCAAAAACATTGTTGGTTGGTTGGTTGGGTAACCTTTTTTCAAAAATAATGCCTGGGGTTTCCAATTGTGCAGGCTTTGCCCAACATTTTGATGTGAGGTTTGTAGAAATAATCAATGGAATTGAATATTTCACAGAAAATAAAAGAGGAATTGGGTATAGAAAAAGAAAAAAAGAAGTGGTCAAAAAAGGGAAAAGAGACTGAGAGAAAGAAAAAGGTTTGGGAGAAAAGAGGGAGACATGAAGAAAAAAGGGCTGAGAAAAAAAGAGATGGGAAGAAAGAAAAAAGGGCTGAGAAAAAGGGAGATAGGAAAAGAGAAAAAAGGGCTGAGAAAAAGAGAGACAGGAAAAAAGAAAAAAAGGCTGAGAAAAAGAAAGACAGAAACAGAGAAAGAAAGAGAATGAAAAAAAAAGGGCTGAGAAAAGGGAGAGTGTGTGGGATAAAAAAGGATGGCGAGAAAGGGGAAGAGTGAAATAGAAAAAAATAAACAGGTTATAAATTCTAACAGAATCATCGAAATATTGTAGCAGAAATAGATATTTGAATGAAACACAAAATGCAGGATGAAATGAATATATTAGAGAAGGTAAAAGAGGAATAACTTCCATTATGAATAAAGTCAGTCTTGAGTTCAGAGTGAACAAAAAGGGATCTATTAGGCTCAACAACAGATGGGAATATATAAAGGGAAAAGATAAAAATTCCATTTACTTCTCTTCCATCATTCATTAATGTTATCTTTTTAATTTCCCTTCAACAAATTCCTCATTTTAATGGTCAGTTTTCTTAACTAAGACAAAGACACCTAAATAAAACAATGTTCACAGTTTCAATAAGCAAACATTTTGATCTTGAGCCCTTAACTGATATAAAATTAGTGGCAAGTTACTCAATCATCTTGTGTTTGTGGATTTTTATAGAAACATGGAAGAACATGAGAAATTTCTATATTTATTATGTCAATCAGGAAAAGAATAAAGTCATCTCTAATTCAAGCACGAAAAGCAAGAATTTCTTTCTCAACTGTGAAATACTCTATTTGGCATGGTTTACTTCATGAGTCAACGATAATTCAACTAAAAAATTTATTGTAAACTGGTTCATTTTAAACTAATTTTTTGTCATTTTTTTTTTTTAAATCCTAATGTGAGCTATATGAACTTCTCAATTTTCCTCAGGTGTTTGTCCTATTGGAAGGTGAAACTTTGGTCTGAGAGAGAGCATGTGTTTCCTTTCCCATACCTGTCACATTCAGTCTCTCTTCCTGTGAGCTCTTGGAATTGTCCTCTGTTCTATGTATTGAGCTTGCAGGAAAAGTAACAAATGCAGACTGTATAAAAGCGGAAGTAAATAGCCACTCAGACTAAGGCTCAACATTCCATATACAACAGATATCCAAACGCCTGAGAGTACATGTACCAAAACATTATGATAAACACATACAAAGAAATTAGTCAGAATTAACCAATGTATAAAGATTAATGAAAAGTTTATATAATTGGAATCAGATGACAAAATCAAGGCTACTGACCTAAAATTTCAAAAACGTTTGCTCAGATTGGTAAAAGATTCTTCCTGTAGATATCTATGAGGCCATCAGTTCTGCTGGTTCTATATAGCCAGAGTTCTATGGTTTACAAAAGATCCACAAGGACAATGTGCTATTCAGGTCTATTGTATTAATGATTTTTTTTTAAATTAAGAAACCAATGTCAAAATTTAATCTCAGGGTAAAGTTAAGTTGGAATTCTGTTAAATTACTATAAAGAGTTAAAGCCAAGAGAAGACATCACAATACATGAGCTACAAAATATATAGGAGAGAAGATTAGAGTTAAAAAAAAAAAACAAAAAAAAAACAACAGTAAAACAAAGTTTTAAAATTTAATGAACTTTAGAAAATAAATTTTATATATATATATATATATATATATATATATATATATATATATATATATATATATTTCAAAGAGGATAGAATCCAGAGAGAGCTCAATGTCCAGGACAGAGCAAGAATATAATATAAAAGGCTCAAACATTAATATTCCATGGTTATAATTTATTACATTGGAAAGGTCTGATGAATTGGATTGTGATTCCAATGTAATAAATTATAACTATTGTATATTAGTGTTTGACCCCTTTTATATATATATATATATTATATATATATATATATTGTGAGTATTTATCAGACATCATGAAAGGATTTTGCTTAAAATAAATAGACAAAACTTGTCTATATTATTTAATGAAATATATATATATATATATATATATATATATATATACACATATATATATATGGTAGACTCTCCTGTCGTATTTGACGTATGAAGGTCAAGCAGCTCAGTTCCTAGGAACAAACAACCAAACACCAGCGCATATGATTTGATTATAGTGGTGAAGGCTTTGTGGAGAACCAACCACACTTTTTGAAGGGCCAAATACAGAGACCTGGTGCACTACGTGCACAAGGTCCCCAAACGACCCTCCGTCAGTTTTGAATTCAGAGTTGTCATCCTCCTAGACCAGTTGCCATCCAAGGCTATAGGACCCAGTCTGTCTTGCTATTTACCCATAGCTGGAGAGAGAAAAATCAGATTCAAACCTTTCCCAAGGGTATTAGCACGTAAGTGAATCTAATGGATTCAACTGAAATTGAACTTGGCTCTCCGATTTCTCAATCCAAGCTGCTACTCACTACTCCATCATGCCTCATATATATATATATATATATATATATATATATATATATATATATATATATATATATATATAAGCAAATATATGGATATAGATCCGACAGTATGAAGAAAATATCTGGAAAAAACAAACAAAAAATCCTAATATGAAATTATGCTGTTTTAATGTTAATATAATGTCAACGTCGAATGTTTCAGTCTAGTAGACCATCTTCAGGACATATTCATAAAACATAATTAACATTAGACTATATTTAATTCAACATGAAAAGACGATGGACATAAGAGTAAGACTAATCAAAACAGAAAACTGAAATCTTTCAAGATCAGCGTTCCGTTTCAATATGATCGTCGGCATCACGTAATGGATGTTGTGAAAAACGTATTCCTAAAATATAGTATTTTGAATGAAAAATGAAAAGAATTTTATTTTAATCTAAAACTTATATGTACGTTTGTCGAGCATTAATCTTGCCTGAAGATGGTCTACTAGACCGAAATGTCCGACGTTGACATTATATTAACATTAAAACAGCATAATTGCATATTAGGATTTTTGTTTGTTTTTTCCGTATATTTTTCTTATATATATATATATATATATATATATATATATATATATATATTCCAAGAGGATAGAATCCAGGTAGAACCTCAATGTCCAGGACAGAGTAAGAATATAATATAAAAGGAAAAGGCTCAAAAACTAATATTTCATGGAATATTAGTGTTTGAGCCTTTTATATTTTTTATATATATATATATATTTTATTGTAGGTATTTTTTTTTATTATTTAAGCCATTTACAGCCTTCTTTATAGCAAACTAGCTTAAAAGCTGCACTCATTGATGAAGGGCAGATTTTCAATACCGGAATCATGCTATTCCAAAATGGTTTAATATGTCTATGTAAAGCAGGTGTGACCCAAATTAGAGGGGTTTCAGACACACAGATGGACAGACAGAATTTGCCATTTATTTATTTAGATGTACATTTTATCCTAGAAAAAATCACATCATAAGATAGACAAAACAGAGTTACTTCCTTTAGTCCAATTATGATAATAGGTACTACATTTTGCTCTCAGGTAAATTGTTAAGATCATTTAAATTTTTTCCTTATATTTTTCATCTTTTCCTGCAACCAATAAGTATAAATCTGGCCAACTAAAACAAACAAAAGCTATTTTAATTTTGGGAATACCTAATAACCTTACGCATTTTGGGTTCTGTTGATTAACTTACCAGGATAAGCTACATACCAGGCTGTAAGGAGAATTGCCACCCAACCACCCTGAACTACCCAATTCTTGCATCCTTTTTATAAAAGTGAAACAAGAAGCTAAAATAAAAAAATAAAAAACTGTTCTGTAAATAGCAACAACAGCCACATTTAGAAACCATAAAACAAACTGCGCCAAATTTAACACAGAATATGTTTCTTTTTGCTTTAAGAAAAATCAGTTGTATATGACAAAACTTTTTAAAGACTAATCAGAACCAATTCAACTTCTTGTCAGTGAGATGCCTATGATGATTAGTTTATATTATTTATTATGAGAGATATACTATAATTATTCTATAATTTTGTAAGACTTTAACACTTCTGCAGCATCAAGCCTAATTTTTTTAAAGTCAGGTCTTTCAATTGATGGAACAATTTCAATGATTAGCTAACAGAATTTACTATCAGTTTTTACAAAATTCTTAAAATGACAATAGCATTTTTATTTGGAATATGACTAATAGGAATTTGTCATGTATATATTAAATGTACAGCTGGTTAACAGCTCAGAACAAGAAATCAGCAAGCCAAGTTTAAATTCATTACATTCACTTTCATGTAAATATCTTTACTCTCTCAGCTATTGGTTAAATAGCAAGGCGGATTGGGATCTTCAGCTATGGTTAGCAAGGGACAAAACTGTAGGGTTGGGCATAAGACTAACAACTCTACCACATAAAAACATACTTGCTACAGGAACCACAGTAGAAACTCTTAGCATGTTGAGAGTTGTGGCCCTATACTCCTTAGCAAGACTTAAACAAGTGATATATTACCAAATGGATGATATTGCAAGCTAGAGAGTCTTACCTGTTTTTGTTTAAGTAATCTTCACCTGCTAAGCAGATCAGTATTGCTAGATAAGTGTTCACCTTGATGCCTTCAATTGCACATGTTACTGAGAGATTTGTAAAATGAAATAGACAGGTTTGCATCCTCTATTGACAAATATTAGAGATTGAACTTGGGCTTGCTATGTTCTTCAAGTTTGAATTAAAAGGGACAGCTAGTTTCTCCCTTATATCCTTTTTAGCATTTGCATAGAATCATGCAAATACCTTTTGTCAAGTTCATCTCCAGAAAGGCACCCAAGGAAGCTACAAAGAATGGTTGTGTTTTTGCTTCTTTTTTTTTTTTTTAATATTCTAATGTTGTAACTTCCACAAACCATTTGGATCCATTTAGCTGCAACTTATAAGTGATATGTTGTTTGCTCTCAATCTGGAACTAACAGCAACAACAACCGAGACCTTTGAAAATAGAAAAAGAGAACGGGGGGAGAGAAAGAGAGAGAAAGAAAGAACGGTGGGAGGAGAGAACGGGGAGAGAGGAACAGAGAGAGAGAACGAGAATGGGGAGAGAGAGAGAGAGAAGGAGAGAGAGAGAACGGGTGGGGAGAGAGAGAACGGGTGGGGAGAGAGAGAGGACAGTGGAGAGGGGTAGAGAGGAGAGAGAACGGGGAGAATAGGGAGAAGGAGAGAACAGGCGGAGAGCGAGAGAGAGAGAGAGAGAGAGAAAAAGGCGGGAGGGCGAACGAGAGAGAGAGAGAGAAAAGGCGGAGGGGCTAACACGAGAGAGAGAGAGAGAAAAGGCGGAGGGCTAACGAGAGAGAGAGAGAGAGAGAAAAGGCGGAGGGCGAACGAGAGAGAGAGAGAGAGAGAAAAAGGCGGAGGGCGAACGAGAGAGAGAGAGAGAGAGAGAAAAAAGGAGGAACGAGAGAGAGAGAGAGAGAGAAAAGGCGGAGGGCTAACTAGAGAGAGAGAGAGAGAGAAAAAAGGGAGGCGAACGAGAGAGAGAGAGAGAGAGAAAAAGGCGGAGGGCGAATGAGAGAGAGAGAGAGAAAAAAGGCGGAGGGGCTAAGAGAGAGAGAGAGAGAGAAAAGGCGGAGGGCGAACGAGAGAGAGAGAGAGAAAAGGCGGAGGGCGAACGAAGAGAGAGAGAGAGAGAAAAGGCGGAGGGGCTAACGAGAGAGAGAGAGAGAGAGAAAAGGCGGAGGGCGAATGAGAGAGAGAGAGAGAGAGAGAAAAGGCGGAGGGTTTAACGAGAGAGAGAGAGAGAGAAAAGGCGGAGGGCGAACGAGAGAGAGAGAGAGAGAAAAGGCGGAGGGCGAACGAGAGAGAGAGAGAGAGAGAAAGGCGGAGGGGCTAACGAGAGAGAGAGAGAGAGAGAAAAGGCGGAGGGCTTAAGAGAGAGAGAGAGAGAGAAAAGGCGGAGGGCTAAAAAGAGAGAGAGAGAGAGAGAGAAAAAGAGAGAGAAAAGGAGGCTAACGAGAGAGAGAGAAAACGGAGAGAGAGAGAGAGAAAAGGCGGAGGGGCTAACGAGAGAGAGAGAGAGGGCTTAAAGAGAAGCAAAAAGGCGGAGGGCTAACGAGAGAGAGAGCAAAAGTGGAGAGAGAGAGCAAAAGGCGGGGCGAACGAGAGAGAGAGCAAAAGGCGGAGGGGCTTAGAGAGAGAGAGCAAAAGGCGGAGGGCTAACGAGAGAGAGAGCAAAAGGCGGAGGGGCTAACGAGAGAGAGCAAAAGGCGGAGGGCTTAACGAGAGAGAGAGAGCAAAGGCGGAGGGCTAACGAGAGAGAGAGCAAAAGGCGGAGGGGCGAACGAGAGAGAGAGAGCAAAGGCGGAGGGCTAACGAGAGAGAGCAAAAGGCGGAGGGCGAACGAGAGAGAGAGCAAAAGGCGGAGGGCGAACGAGAGAGAGAGCAAAGGCGGAGGGCTAACGAGAGAGAGAGCAAAAGGCGGAGGGGCTTAACGAGAGAGAGAGCAAAAGGCGGAGGGCGAACGAGAGAGAGAGCAAAAGGCGGAGGGCGAACGAGAGAGAGAGCAAAAGGCGGAGGGCGAACGAGAGAGAGAGCAAAAGGCGGAGGGCGAACGAGAGAGAGAGCAAAAGGCGAGGGGGCGAGAGAAAGAGAGAGAGCAAAAGGCAGAGGGCGAAAGAGAGAGAGAGCAAAAGGCAGAGGGCGAAAGAGAGAGAATAAAAGGCAGAGGGCGAAAGAGAGAGAATAAAAGGCAGAGGGCGAAAGAGAGAGAAGAAAAGGCAGAGGGCGAAAGAGAGAGAAGAAAAGGCAGAGGGCGAAAGAGAGAAAAGGTAGAGAGTGAAAGAAAAAAGCAGAGAGAAATGCGAGTAAGGCAGAAAAGGCAGAGAGAGAAAGGCAGAAAAGGCAGAGAGAAAATGGAAGATAGGAGAGAAAGAGAGAGGAAAGGCACCTGTGGTCAAACATTAAAAAAAAAAAAAATCACCAAATACCAAGACCAAGAATAGACTGGAAGTACAAAGCCTATCACATGTGAATGTTAATAAAATAGAAATCACTTCTTTTAGAAGAGGCTCTCCCAATTCCCTTCTAATCTGAGATAAAACCTAAATATATACATATGCTAAAAATATAAATTATTTTAAATGATGTGCTATTTCTGTGTGTGGCAGATCGTGAACATACATAATCTTTTTTTAAAGGCTTACAGCCATATCACATTGAAACATTGGTTCCCATACAATTAATGAAGTTAAGCAATGCGAAGCCTGGTCAGTACTTAGATGGGTGACTGCTTGGGAATACCAGGTGCTGTAAGCTTGGATGTGTGGATGGTGTAATGGGTAATGGCTTGGAATTTTTAATCAGAGAGCCGAGTTCCAATTCCAGTTGGATTCGTTATATTCATTTACATGCAAATACTCTTGGGAAAGGATGAATCCAGCACTTCTCCCCCCAGATATGTGTTAATTAGTAAGACTTACTAAATTACTATTATCTCCAAAAAAAAAAAAAAATAAATAAAAAAATAAAAATTCTTACAATCCCAAAATATTTTCTGGTTACAAATAGCCTAAAAAGAATGAATCAATTTTTTAAAGAATTTCAGTCATCATTAAATGATATTCTTTTTTCAAATATATACATCCCTGCAAATACCCAAGCTGCTGTAAGTTTTTTTTTTTTTTTTTTTATGGTCGCCATATATGCTTACAGATTGAAAATATTCTAAATAGTTTGATAGAGGAGAAATAATGAGCTACAGTTGTTTTTCCTTTTCTTTTACAGTTAGCTTCCTCCTTACAAGGCTCAGGGACCACTCAAGGTAGAGGTTTACGTTAAGGGGTAGTTTATATCGATAGGAGGTAAAGATAGCAGTTGACTCTAGATTTGAACATGTAGTGATTGGGGAAACATCCTATTGTGAGTCTGTTCCACAGAGCAGTAGTTCGCAGGAAGCTGTTTGAGTGGAACTTCTCGCTGATGAAATACGGAGAGAATGTGGGTGGTTCGCTACTATGTAAGTGGCATGGTGGGTCCTAGCTGTGAAAGTTAGACTTGGGGGAACCAAGAAAAGTAGTTTGTCTGAGCACTTTCCATGGTAGTAGTGATAAAGCAGTGAGAGACATGCCACATCCCACCTGTCAGATAGAGGTTGGAAGGTTGAAAATAATTCTTCTGCAACAAGATCTCGGAGATGCTTTTGAATTCTATCAAGACTGGAAAGTGAGGTCTGGGCTGCACCCACTCAAATATGGCAAAAGTACTCCATTTTCAGCCAGATCTGTATCTTATAAAGGATAACATGAGGAGTCAGGTACTTACTGGGGTGGTACTTGGAGTCAATCATTTTACCTACCTCTTTAGTGATGGATCGTATATAGGAGTTTTACTTGAGGTTGGTTGTGAGTTTGACTGTGACTATTCGGGGTCTGATTGGCAGTGATGGAATGTAACCAGCCAGTTTTTTCCCCACTTAGAAGTTAGTGTTAGACTGGAGTAGAAGTCAGCTGCCAATCTCTGATCAAGAGTTTTAGCAGTGTGCCCATATGTTGTATCATTGGCATAAATATTTACAAATGATCAGAACATGTTCTTAGGTAGATCATTTATGTACATCAGAAAGAGGGTTGCTCCAAGGTGACCCCTGGGGGACACCTATGTTGACTGCCAGGGCCTTGGAGGACTGACCATTAATAACTACCTTCAGAGATTTACCTTTTAGGAAGGATTTTATAATAGAGAAAACCATTTCAGTGATTCCCTAGCTGGAGGGCTTTTGTAGCAAACCTTTGTGCCACACATTGTCAAAGCCTTCGAGATATCTAATGCTATGGTCCTTGCACTGTATGTGTTGTCAAGGTCTCACTAATTCTGTGTAAAATGGTAGTTACGAATGTCAGCAGTGGTCTTTTTCCTGATTTAATACAACCAAAAATGATCCAATATTGTATAACCAACTTATCAACAAAAGTTATAAAAACCTTTCTCAAGTATGACAATGCCTTTGTGCAGAAACTAAGGTCCACACAGAAATGGCATAACAAAATAAAAAAATTGAATGGCACACATAGAATCATCACCTCAACCTTAAACACCATTAATCATTCCTCTTCTTCTATGTGTCATGTCATTCAGGATGTAAGTTCCTATCTTTTATTAGCAGTGTTTGTCTTTTTACTATTTCTCCTAATTTCTGTTCTGCCAACCATTTACACAAGCTCATAAAAGTAGGTTATTTGATGCTTTCCTCTGTCACTCAATGTCCTGTGAGTGTCAAATTTTCCAAGCCCTCTTTCCTCATTATGTACCCTAGAAATTTCAACTCTTTCTGGTGTTAAGTATAAGTGTCATTTTTGTTTCCATTTTCTCTAAAACATCATCATTGCTCACATGTTTGGTCCATAGTATTCTTGGCATCTGTAGAACCACATTTCTTTTGCCTCAAGTTTCTTCATCTATGAGGAGATTATCTAGTATTCAGTGTCACATAGGAGGACTGATATTACATAACAGTCCAATACTCTTTTCTTTGTTTTTAATTAAATTTTCCTGTTTCTTAATACTTTGCTTAACTTTTAGAAGGCATCTTTCACTATTCCAATGAGCCTTCAGATTTCAGTGTTGCACTTTTCATTCTCTGTTAAAACACTTCCCAGATATCTAAATTTTTGTACTTGTTTGATTTTGGTGTCTCCAATTTGCAGTTTGCATGTTGGGCTCTTCCTTTTGCTAACAACTATGCATTATGTCTTCTTGAAATTGATGTTTAGTCCTTCCTTCTTCATTATTTGCCCATAGCTGTAACCCTAACAGGTGCTACCACCCAGGACAAGGGTGGACCTGGGAACAACAGCAAATGAGATGGTTCCGCACTGCTCAAAACATCCCAATAAGAGGCCTTGCTTCCAGATGTAGTTTATCATACCAAGGACAACTGTTAGGATTGCTTCACTGTAAAAGTTGAATAGATTTGGTGCGAAGACACATCCTTGTCATCAACCCCTTTCTATTTTAGTAAACTTAAACATCATTTATCATGTCAGTTTTAAAACCAGCTTAAACTAAAATCCAACTTTATTTATATACTTTTGATTAAATAGAAAATTTTATAAATACAAAAAGAGAAGACCCTATTAATAGCTACAAATCTAGAAGAGGTTCCAAAATCAGTGTCATATAATGTGTCACATGTGTGCAAATTTGGTGCCAGAGGTTTTAAAAAATTTGTCTGGTTTAAAAGAGCCAGATATGTTTAAGGCACAACTGAGTATTACAATGATGTCTTACGATGATTCATACATCATCAAGATGGCAGCCATCAGAGTATGCTGATATACAGATACAGTTAGAGATAAAAGGCCTTTGCCTTTCTTGTTTCCTGTTTCAAGGTAACTCTATGTATCATTACTATTATTAGTAAAAACCATTTTCTACCTTTTTTTGTTATTAGTAATTTTAACAAACATGAAAATACTAGCTAAACCATCTTAACACTCTTGAACTCAGTACACAGTAGGAATGAATAAAGCTCTCTACTAAGCAATGTCAGTAGATATTATAGTAGAGTAGCCACCAAATTTAAACTACAAGTTACAAGCATTAGAAAGTTAAAGAATTTGGAGGTTGACAAATTCTGATTTAAGTCCTCACACAGCTCCGATCCAATCTAAGCGTCAACCAACTATAGTAATTGAATGTCTTTCCACCAGAGTTATAGTCAGTCAGTTCAGCAAAGTATTGATCCATTCCTCAACACGTGTTAGTCAACGAGTATTGATTAGTATTGATTTCATATGCCATTGATGATGTTCTACTGGAGGGGTTCAAAATTTGTGGTTGAGCGATAAACTGCAAGAGTTTTTATTCCACTTTTGTTTTTCTATCTTTTTTTTTTTAATACATTATGCTTTAGAAGTCACACTTAATGCACAGATGTAGGTAAGAATGTAGGCAGGTAGGTAATGATCAAATATCATGTACTCTTTTATTCATGTAGCAACCTTATATTTCATGAAAAAATTATTTGATCAAATTATGTTGAATTTATTATCAGATGAAGAATCTATACTATTATACTGCTTGTTTGTACATATGACTTATGTGATTCTAACTAGGATCTTGGAGTAGTAAATGTGAGGGAGAAGAAAACTATGTAAAGGAAGAGGGAGAAACAAAGTATTAGAAGGAAAGAGGGAATAAAGCTAGAAGAGAAGAGGGAATAAAGCTAGAAGAGAAGAGGGAAGAAAGCTAGAAGAGAAGAGGGAAGAAAGCTAGAAGAGAAGAGGGAAGAAAGCTAGAAGAGAAGAGGGAAGAAAGCTAGAAGAGAAGAGGGAAGAAAGCTAGAAGAGAAGAGGGAAGAAAGCTAGAAGAGAAGAGGGAAGAAAGTGAGAAGAGAAGAGGGAAGAAAGTGAGAGGGAGAAGAGGGAAGAAAGGAGAGGGAGAAGAGGGAAGAAAGTGAGAGGGAGAAGAGGGAAGAAAGTGAGAGGGAGAAGAGGGAAGAAAGTGAGAGGGAGAAGAGGGAAGAAAAATAAAGAGGGAAGAGAAGAGAAAGATAAAGGGAGAAGAGAAGATAAAGGGAGAAGAGAAGATAAAGGGAGAAGAGAAGAGAAAGATAAAGGGAGAAGAGAAGAGAAAGATAAAGGGAGAAGAGAAGAGAAAGATAAAGGGAGAAGAGAAGAGAAAGATAAAGGGAGAAGAGAAGAGAAAGATAAAGGGAGAAGAGAAGAGAAAAGTAAAGGGAGAAGAGGAAGAAAGGTAAAGGGAGAAGAGGAAGAAAGAGAAAGGGAGAAGAGGAAGAAAGATAAAGGGAGAAGAGAAGTATGGAAGGGAAGAGGAAGAAAGCTAGAAGGAGTAGAAATGTATAGAAGAGAAACGAGAGAGAGAGAGCTAGAAAAAAACGGAAAAGAAAACCAGATGAGATTAATATATGAGGGAGAGAAGATAACTGGATATAGAGACAATAAATGTAAAATTGAAAGACAGGTTAGCATTGAAAGGTGCAAAACTTGTAAAATATCAATAGATTAAAACTTATGATCAAATTGAGCAAAAGAAATTTGTTGGTTGGTTGATTTTACAGCATAATAACATAAATGTAGAAGCCATTTTTTTTTTTTTCATATATTCAATTCTTGATTTAAAGTCAAAAATCATGATGAATTAATAGTTTTAATGTTAGCTTTCCTATATTAATTACCATCAACAATCTTTTCATAAATCTTTTAATGTTTGATATAATTTAGAAAAAAAAAAAAAAAAATCAATATAAAAGTAGAATTCAAATATGATAATATAATTAATATTTATAAAGCAACA